TGTAATAAATACAATGGATGAATATCAGTATTTATAATTGGTGGTTCTCAAATAGCCCAAAGAATAAACTTTTGATAATTTTTATCTCTGTGACTATTGTTTCAATGCAAGAGTACGGTATTTACTTATGTTAAGGTTGAACTCATGTTTAAGTCAACCCCCCATTTTCAAGGTCAAAATCGGATTGTTAATCATCTCTAGTTAAAGATGTAAAATTCAGATGGACAGAAATTTCCCAAAAAGTTATTCTCTTATTTCATAGAATGTATTGAAAACACAATGAATTAAAAAACTGCAGAGCAAAATGTGACGGTGTGCTGGGAAGTTTATTGGCACTTACTTATTAAGCCACTTAAAATTTATTGTTTCAAACTTTTTTGTTGACAAAGAATGTACTGAAAACTGATGAAACTCCTACACAATTAAACTAGTTTTGTAAACTTGGTTTTCCGAACGGACTTCAGGTGATCATTCTGCCAGTATATGAAGTAATACCACTGCTCAGCCTTGTGAACCTTTAGCTTCCCAAGAGTTCCAGCTGCATTCACCGCTTGGCTCAAGAACAGACCTTATCTTTACCTTCTTTCACTAAGTCCAAAAGTGCTCCCAGTAATGAAAATGGAAGGAGACAAAATTTGTCAAACAGAGTTAATGTTCATAGATTTGATGATTTTGGTGAATTTTAGTCCAATTTGTCAAAGCAAAGTCAAGGTTTGACAAATTTTGCCATTTTCATTACTGCATGCATTTCTGGAAATAGAAATTGACTTGGTGGGTCAAGCATAAAAAAAAAAAGAAAGAAAGAAAGAAAAGAAAAGGTGAGAGTGAAAAGAGTGAAATAAAAATAAATCAACCAAGGTTATTATCAGGGTTGGGTGGAGTGATGTTGTTTTGTTAGAACTATTTTTCCAGGTACACCCCTGTGATCTTCCTTTCCTTCCACAGTTTTTGATGTAAGTTTGCCTCCCTCAACTCCAGGCAATAAAATTTTCCTATTTTCAAGACTATTTTCATTATTATTTTGTATCCACAAACTTCACTTGACAGCATTGTTCTAAAACATTGGGTCACTAGAAATGAAAAGCAAAAACCTTCCCTGGGATAACCTGACACAGACAGCAAATTTCTCGTAATGCCAACTCTCATGGACTCTCATTGAAACCCTTGGCTGTCTGTGAAGGTGATTGACATTTTGACAACCTGAGAAGAATTCATCTTCAGAATCAAGTAACAAATTGTCTGTCAATCAAGTAAGAGTCTGGCTTAAAGAAACTGGTTGGTCAATTTTGTTGCCATATTGTGGGCTAAAAAAAAAGTGGCAATCAGCAGTTGTGATTAGTCAGTTTTGATCTGTCAGTGAAATTGTTATTGTCTTGTTTGGTCTTTACATGAAGTTTCCAAATCACTTTCAGCTCTGAAACTGGAAGCTAAAAGAAGCTGAATGTTTATGCATGCCATCAACAGGTAGAAAATAACACAACATCCATCATTCCTTATTCAATTAAGTTCTTATTTGAACATAATTTATCTACCTTACCTTAGTTAATAACAGAAAAAATAAATGACTAAAACATCATCCAAATTTTTTTATAATACTGTACAATCTTCTTGTTATTTCTACTAAAAACAACAATACCCTGAAGAGAATTATTTCAATTGGAGAGGAGGTCCCCAACCTTTCATTACAAACATTATTTAAACATAAAGGCTAAATGCCCCACAGCTGGGCATGATCTTAAAAGGACTGAATGCCAGCAGTCAGAATGCTTGTTAAGCAAATTTTCCTTGTCAGCACCTTACGAAATGTAGAGAACACAGTGTGGAGATTATGCATATTGATGTTCGCGTGTGAAGGGTTGACAGATTTAAATGAGGTTTTCCACAAGAATTCGGCAGAAAACTTCTGACTGCCAGGCATTTAGTCTATTTGAGACCATACCTGTCAGTCTGATCAGAAATTTTTCTGAGTGAAGTGGAATTGCTTCACATTTCTTAAAAAACATCTATCATTCTTTATAAGAGTGAAAGAATCTTTCAGTGGAAACTCTGTGAAAATTTCTGGCTGTCAGCATTTAGTCACTTTAAGCCTTTACCTAGCTGCCAGGCATTTAGTCACAGTCTTATTTTACACATCTGCATTCTTCCTCAATACAAAACAGAAGTTGTTGCTATCAGTTCAGTTAAATTGGTCGCCTGAGTAACTGCCAGCTCAAGGAAAGAAAGTAGCTAGAGATGTCTGGCATGACGATGCAATAACTCTGTGGTCAAGAACAAAATGTTTCTGGTAACATTCTGAATTTCATGCAAGTCTTGTCCGTGAAAGACCCAGCTGTTTAGCAATGTTCTTGATAGATTCCACATTCATCTCATATGAGGTTAGATCTAGAAATTTTGAGGTCATTTCTCTAATATGCCTCGCACATAACAACTGGAAAATCCACATTTAATCTTGGATACGGTAAATCAACTAGTCCTTGAGGTAATAGTCGCCGAGTTACTTTCTTCATGGAATACTTCTTCCCTTTCTTGTTTGGTTTAACTTCTTCATAAAATTCATGGGCTAGATCACCATCTTCATCAAAGTACATGGAGCTGTGTGAAAGAAAAAATACGCGATTCTCTGGATTAGCCATGGATCATGATTATTCAACTTATCACAAATAAAATATTTCGCGAGATTTGCGGCTAACCAAAATTGTACTATAATTGCCTGCTTTCAGCTGTTTCGCCGCTTTACGTAGGTACAGGAATGATTTTCGAAAATAAAACCGACTAAGGATAAAGAGAGGACACGACAAGTGTGTGTCGATCTCTTGTTTAATGCAAATAAAATGTCGATAGGAACCGTATGACGCACAAGAAGAACCAAAAGCTTACGTCGTGTTTTGGTGTTCTCGTCCCTTAATTCATCTACTAATTAAACATGATTACCTCTTAAATTAGTTTTTTCTTTTCTATACAAAGGAAGAAAACGCAAACTATTTTCCAGTGATGAAAATTAAACCTGTACCATTTTTTTTTCTAAAGTACGAAGACTTAATCGGCCTCAGCTGCAACATTACCAGTTCGGCTTTTCTTGCGTCAGATGAAACGGAATTTCTTCCGAAAAGTCTCAAAAAAATTTTTAATTTACTTGATCAAAAATCACATAAGGTATACAAAACACTAGTTTGAGGAGAAAAAACCAAAATAAAACCGATTAACAGTGAAATACATACCTGGTACGTTTCCAAACAAATGGCGTCGCGGCGAGAGACGATCGGCCATTATCAGGGAACGTTTGATTGTCTCCCCCACAACTCATCATGTACTGTAGCCCTCCATACATGTTAGAAACAACAGATCCCATCCTGCTATCTTAATTTTAAAGAATTTCCTAGCGTACAAGCCATTAAAAAGCTACTTGTTTCGACTCGAAAACATCGATACGTATATTGACAATTGGACTCGAATACTCCAGAAACATGGCGGCTGGGAAAGCGAAGAGACTGGGTATAGGTACATTTCTAGTAGGGTTTCAGCGGTTAAGGCTGTTTCTGTTCCTCACACCTCTAGGGCTCTGTCAGGATAATAAGGCTCCTGATGTTGTAAAGGTTTTCTACATCCAGTTGCTGAAGCAATTCGAACAGACTCATAGCCTGGAACACGCTTAGGCCTTTAGGTGGGGTCGAATTTTCGCCGTCTACTCGGGTACGGTCTTCGATCCTCTCCTTATCAGTGGAGTTGGCCCTTGGGGTAAAGGGCCGGGGGGAGGGGATGAAAAGATGAACGAACGTAGCATCCCATCCAACTAGTAAGACTCTTTAGTTTAAGACTCTTTCCCTTAGTTGGGAGTGGGAAAAGGCCCTGGGAACGAGGTTGTTTTTATAGCCTTTGCTGGATCTGGAAACCGAGGTATTAATTAGTGAGCTACTCGGCTCGAAAAAGGTAACCCTTCAACTCCCATGAGTGACCAAGACAGAATTTCTCCTTATAATATCAACACAATATCAACCAGATATGTGATGAGAATAAAGAAAAATATCAATTTGGGGATAATCAGTTGATCCAATAGTAAATTCTCCGAACTAATATTATAAGAATTGTGTGGTTGACAATGAGGACGATGACAAATTTGATCTGGAAGTTAAAGGGTTAATCTTTTTGCAAACAGCACTGATGGTTTTTTTAATTTCTGTCGGGAAAGAAATAGGTGATGCTTGATTATTTTGTGAATAAATATTAATTAGAAATTGACATTTGTAACGCAAAGAAGTTAGATTTTTTGACACTAGATCTCACAATAACGTAGACAAAGTCCGAGTTTATTTACGATATAAAATGATGTAACTGCGTGCATTTTCTTAGGCTTAATAAGGTGAAAGAGCATGCGATTTTGTAATAGTCACTTAATTTAGATACATTACAAAGGGAACTTTTGCTGTACATGTGATTAATGTAAAAATACTGCCTTACGAAAGGATAGTAGAAAAAACCTCTGTATACTTAGATTATGTTAGTTGATCGTTGATCGTTGATCCTTGTGTTACGACCGTTGAATATGTGAGAATTGTATATCGCAATAGATTGTTGGTTTGGATGAATACAGTCCTCTTGATTTTTTTGAACAAGCGAGCGGGGTTAAAAGACTTCCGCAACAATTTCCACACACTCAAGACTTCGTTATTATTCGTCCTTAAAAAGCGCTGAAAAAACTTCTCTTTTGATCAATTACAAGAGAAGTAATATTTTTAAAAAAAGTAAAGGTGGCTCAAACTCAGATCACCCTCCTCAGATGTCATAAAATAGTTTTAGTGCGCTTTCCACCGGAAGTGACATCCATTCCACCCATTTGTTTTGACAGATTCTTAGTGGCTAATATTGACCTACATCACGTAGAGGTGATGAAACTTTGCGCCAAAAAATTCCCGCAGCGTGTATTGTTCGACTCAGTATGATAAAGGTCACTTCACATCATAAAGCATTCCACATGCTTTAGACAATCATTGAAGCGTGCCTGCTCACAACCGATCGAACGGATTTTTTGCGGTCGTAGTGATTTCTTTCTACCATTCAAGAATTGAAGTTTGTTACCTCATCGAGGACCCAGTGTTCTTGTAAGTGATATTTCCTTAACTCTGTTTAAATATAGCTGATGAACTCATTACGGCGAGATTGGCTGGTCTGTCAGCCAGACATCCATTGCGCTCGCAAAAGACAGAAAAGAGTTTGATTAGCATATACGCATAATACTATCTTTCTGAATACTTTCGCTCAGTGATAAATGACAAATCATGATGGTTTGCAATCATCCAGCTGTTTTCAGTTACATAATGTTAACTGAGAAGATAATTCGACATTAGCGCTCTAATTCGTGTTGATGACAAACCTTTTGCCAATTGAAATATCTTGTTTGTGAAGATAAGAGGACTTGAGTCGATTTGGTTCACTAAGCAGCGCCAAATAGTTTAAACACGAAAATCTAATTCCCTGCAAAGTTTTATTAGCATTATGGTTCACTACTATTTCTAATCAAGCGCGTATATTATAAAGAAAGAACTCGTTAAAATTTTGATTCTTGATTGCTTTTTCTCTCCAATCCAGAAAAGTTTCGTGCATAGAAAAGAGCGAGGGGGGG